TCCTCCTCCCTTCTTCCCTCCCTCCCTCCCTCCCATTCTTCCCTCCTTTCTTTCCTTCTTTGGCGATCTACACCCAGTGTGGGGCTCGAACTCATGACCCTGACATTAAGAGTCACCCGGCACCCTTGAGCCAGCTCCTTGTGATGATGATTTTTGGGCTTGCCACCCCCTAGGAACCTGTGTTCTGTGGATGCCTGATCCCTAATACTTTTTGTGCCCTACCCCTTGTTTTCTCTACAGTGCACAAAAGCACGTTTGAAGGTCACTGAGAAGGAGCTGAAGGGCCTGCAGTGGGAACACGAGGTGCTCGAGCAGCGGTTCCTCAAGGTGAGCAGATGCCACGCTGGTCCTGCCGAGAGCAGGGAGGGACTCTTCTGGTTGCCCTGGCTCTGCGACCAGCTCCGGGAGTTGTCAAAGCTGTGGCTGGAGTCCTGTTGCCCGCTCCTCATCCTACAAGGCTTGATGAGGCAATGGGGAGAAAGCTGCAGCACACTCTGTGGAAGGCCCAGGGTCTCACCAAGAGCAGGTGCCCTGGTGGAGACAGTCGCTCCCAGCTCTGTTTCCCACAGGCTCACCTGTGAGATACATGCAGGGCACCTGGCCCCTTGTGTCTGGGCTCCTTTTCCTCTGTATACACGTCTCTCAGTCCTGGGGGGTTAGGTGCTCCTTGGAAGGAAGTCATGGGGTGCTGTCTGTAGTGAATGTGCGCGTGCCCTCCTCCCGCTCAGCAGGGTCCTCACCAGTGGTAGCTGGTGGCAGCTCCCTGAGTTCTTGCAGACTGCTTCCTGTGTGTCCTCATGACCGTGTGGCCTGAAGGCTGTTCATGCAGCCAGCTCCCCTGGACGGATAGCGCTGTTGTAGTCCCCTGCTGTTGTGGACGTGCAGCCATGGTCATCCTTTCAAGTTTATCTTTTTTTTTTTTAAGATTTTATTTATCTATTTATTTATTTATTTGACAGAGAGAGACACAGCGAGAGAGGGAACTCAAGCAGAAGGAGAGGGAGAGGGAGAAGCAGGCTCTCCGCTGAGCAGGGAGCCCTGTATGGGCTCGATCCCAGGACCCTGGGACCATGACCCGAGCCGAAGGCAGATGCTTAATGACTGAGCCACCCAGGTCCCCACCCAGGCGCCCCGAGTGTTTACTTTTTATACTTCCACAAAGTCTTGCTTTTTTACGATGCACAGTGAAAAGTAAAGGAATTGGAAGCTGAAAAAGAACACCTTTATTTATTAACAGGCAGTTGGCTGCAGAGCTGTTCTCTAGATCTATTTGTGGGGCACGCTGACCTGTGGGGTTCTGGGATCTGGGGCTGGCCTACGGGGTGGATCCCTAGGAGCCTCCCTCCCCCAAACACTGCTTGCTGGAGTTTGATGCCTTTGATCTCACGTAGGGGTGATCAGGGACGTGTCTTTCCTGAGCCTCCTGCCCAAACTCCAGGCCTGAGCCCCTCTGTGGTGCCTCTCCAGCTCTAGCCGGGGTACCCTGTTGCTTCCTGAAACAGCGTAGTAGAGGTGGGTCCAGCTGGTGTTTCCTCCTGCCTTCCACAGTGTGGACAGCTGCATGCCTTTAATTCCATCACAGAGAGTGGGCGTGCAGGCAGTGTAGACGGCACACAGACCCACCCACCCGTGGGGGTGCCCAGGTGCAAGGGGTTCACTCTACAGAAGTGGTATGTTCTGGTCCAGGGGCAGAGGTGGGAGGCGGCTTCTCCCCAGCGAGATGCCCCCAGGGCAGGTGGCCTTTTTGTCCCCGACAGCCTGTCCCTTGCAGGTGCAGCAGGAGCGGGACGAGCTGTACAGGAAGTTTACTGCGGCCATCCTGGAGGTGCAGCAGAAGGTGGGTTTCAAGAACCTGGTTCTGGAGCGGAAGCTGCAGGCGCTGAGTGCTTCTGTGGAGAAGAAGGAGGTGCAGCTCAGTGAGGTGCTGGCGGCCTCCAACCTGGACCCCGCAGCGCTGACCCTTGTGTCCCGCAAACTGGAGGTGGGTCCCAGGCTGCAGCTTCCCGTTCTCGTCCCCTAGCAGGTGTCCGGGGCTCGGGTTGGGGTCGCGTATTTGATGCGTGTGTGTCCAGCCTCCGTCACTCCAGTGGAGACCTTCCGGTAATGCTGGGGAGGGGCTGTCATGGGTTTTCTGTGGCCGGAGCACAGACGGGGCTTGCGGACATCTGCTCACAGCCTCCCCAGGCTCTCTGTGGCTTGGTGCTTCCCCAGGCCCCTCCTTAGCCTCTTGGCACCTTCTGGCCCTGAGCCCACTGCCCATCCAGCGCTCAGGATGGGTTCAGCTTAGCCTGTCAGGCCCCGGGTCTCTCAAACTGCTCTCAAAACTCAGGGCCTGCACTCCTCAGACGTCTGGTGACAAACCTAGAGATAGGCCTGGGGGACAGCCGAGCCCATGAGCTTGTAGCCGAGGCCGGGGCCACAGTCCGCCTGGGATGCGAGGATATCCTGCTTGATGTAGGCTGTGGGCAGTTAGGACGGGGACATACAGGGCTGTGTGGCGGGGGCTGGGGCAGGCTTCCCAGAGGGAGTTAAGGTCTGAGCAGAGGCTAGAGCATTTGTCCAGGCGTGAGTTCGCGGTTCTGTGTGCTGGTCCTCTCTGTGGGGGCTGTCTTGGGCACAGGGGAGAGCATCACACAAGACAGATGAGGCCTGGGCGCCCACGGACAGGACTCAGGGCAGCGATCACCAGGCAGAAGCCTGCCAGCACCTGGCAGGTCATCTCCTGCCCAGGGCCTTGTGTCTGTTCCCTGAGCCTCGCTAGGACGTGTCACAGAAAGAACGGACAAGGGGTCTTCGTTGCTCCTGGGAAGTGGTTGTGCTGGGATCCTGGCCACCTGGGTGACCTGCAGCCTTCAGGCCCAAGGCAGCCCCCGGGGCAGGGCCCTTGGGGGTCTGCACGTCTCCACAGAGAGGCCCAGGGAGGGGTGGCCAGCTTGTCCCAGAGACAGATCCTTCCAGGCTGGAGGTTTCCTTCTCTGCTCTTCCTTCACGGAGAAACAGATCTGAGTCAGGGGCTTAAGGAGGCTTCACTGTGCAGGTGTGTGTGTTTTGTGTGTGTATTTTTTTTTTAAGATTTTATTTATTTATTTGACACAGCGAGAGAGGGAACACAAGCAGGGGGAGTGGGAGAAGGAGAAGCAGGCTCTCCGCCGAGCAGGGAGCCCGACGCGGGGCTCAATCACAGGACCCTGGGACCATGACCTGAGCCGAAGGCAGACGCTTAACGACTGAGCCCCCCAGGCGCCCCGTGCAGGTGTGTTTTGTCCTGACAAATACACAGGCAGCATTTTTCAGGTGATTTGTCAACATGCAGTAACTCCGTCTGCTCACATGACACCCAGGCTCAGAGGAGTAACTGTGTCGGGTCACCTAATCTTTTCTTAAAGCCGTTTCGGGGCGCCTGAGTGGCTCAGTTCATTACGTGCCTGTCTGACTCTTGGTTTTGGCTCAGGTCCCGATCTCACGACTCGTGAGATCGAGCCCCGTGTCGGGCTCCGTGCTCAGTGTGGAGTCGAGATTCTGTCTCTCCCTCGCCCTCTTCCCCTCCCCCGCTCTTAGGCACACGTTCTCTCTTTCTCTCTCTCAAATAAATAAATCTTAAAAAACCCAAAACACCGTAGGCTAGCTTGCTGCCCGCCTGGCCTTGACCTGAGGCTTGCAGCTCCCATCAGTGCTGTTGGACACGCGTGAGCCCCTTGCTGCTTGGGTGTTGGGGGGAATGCAAGGCTGAGTGGAGGAGGGCAGAGCCGGCTGGATCGGAGTGGTTCCGAAGCGTGTTGGGTGTGCCTGAGTTTGAGGCTGGTGGGGAACCATGGAAGGTTCTGGGTGGGGTGGACTGGATCAGACAGAGCCCCGTGGGAAGGCAGGAGGTGAGCTGGCCCTGATGCGGGATGAAGGACTTGTTGCTGATGGAGGAGAGAGACTTGTTGCTGAGGAGTCCAAGGAGACGTGGTGCCCATTTCCGGCCGAGACCAGATGTTGCTCCTGGGCAGCCGCGAGTCCCGGCTCGGCGGGCGGCAGGGCCTGTGGGGCCAGAGTCACCTGGCACAGGCTCTCGGGGCCTCGTGTGGGCTGGCTGCACTGTGGACCGGGGTCTGGAGGTCCGTCTCTCTCCTTGTACCCTTGTCCCTACTTGTGAACGCTGCCAGGCAGGGAGTGAGGGCGCTCTTGGAAACGGGAGAGCTTTCCTGCCTCTGCTGTTGGGAAGGGCGCCTGGTCTCGGAGCTGGATGAGGCTGTTGCCAGCAGTCATGATGAGGGGATAAAATCAGTCCCATCCACAGTAGTCGCTGCAGCTGTGTCCATGGGCCAGGGCCTTTCCTGGTCAGTTCCCTGGCTTGCCTGGAGGAACCCTCCTAGGAGGCAGGTGGGGGCTCAAGGGCCCTTCCCTGGCCCGTTGGTGGCCTGGCTTCTCTAAATTCTTGTCCTCACTTCCCACCATCTAGACGGTTTCCTTACAGAGAGGCTGATCCTATTTTTCCTTTCTCCTTTGAAGACCTTTCTGTGCTAGCTGGCTGCTCCCTGTGTGGATGTCTACACTGATGGAGCCCGGCTGCCATTCCCTGGATGTCTGAGGTCTCCTGCTGGAGCTTCCAGACCCCCACCAACCCCTGTCTGCTTTAGCCCAAAGACAGGCTCAAACTCACATCCTCCTTTCTCTCCTTAGGATGTTCTAGAATCGAAGAACAACACTATCAAGGACTTGCAGTATGAGCTGGCCCGGGTCTGCAAGGTACTGGGAGCCTCCTGCCCCTCTCTCAGGGCCCCACCTTATCTGCACCGTGGAGGTAGACACAGCCTGAGGTTGTCTGGGCCTTCTCAGGTCACTATGTGTGGCCTGGGCCACATCCCCACAACTCTGGCCACTGTCCTGGTGTCCCTTACAGGGACTGCCCAGGGGATATCTGGTAAATGAAGGCAGTTTGTCTGTCCAGCACACTCTGTCCCTCCCATCTGACCCTTGCTCTCGGTGACCTGGTCTCTGGTGATTGGCTGGGCTTCCTTTGCTTCCCCCACGCAGGGGACAGTTACTAGTCTTAACTTTTTCTCCCTCCTTTGTAAGTCTGATGAAAGCTGCACACCCTGTCCACACCAAAACCACGCATCAGCATGGAAGCCTCCTGCAGCTGGGGAGGGGCAGTGGGTGCCTTGAGCCTGCTGTCATCTGCCCCGTGTACCCAAGAGGCCTGGGCCCTCTCCCCAGTGGTCCCGCCTCCATGGCTGAGCCCACAGCTCTGTCTGGGCTTTGCCTGTGGGGAATGCAGACAGTGCTGCCTCCAGATACATTGACCTCGAGCACCCACCCCACGAGTGTGACTCAGATAAGCCTGTAAATATGCAGGGTGGAGGTTGCTTCGTAGTTCTGTGCGCCCTGGGTGTGGAACCCCAGGAGGGAGGCAGTGCCTGTCATTGGCGCTGGGTTCCATGGTGACTAGATCTCGCTGGGCCTCTCCTTGGCCCTGCCCCTCTGGACCCTTTCCTTAGATGCTACGCATCCCCTGATATTTACACGCACAAAATTAGGGCCATTTACTGTGTGCACTTCTGGGGGAATGTCCATTACTTGTACCTGATTGTCAGGAGGTCTGTCCCCCAGAGAAGGGTGAGAGCCAGGACCCAGCCCCCAAGTTCTCTCTGGAGCTTGGCCGTAGTTCACCCTTGAAATCTCACCTCCAAGCTCCAGCACCCTTTTCTTGATGATGGTGAGGATAATGAGCCCTTTTGGGCTTTGGATCTGAGTCAGGCCAGGCTCCAAGCTTTTCACATGCATCAGCTCTTCAAACCCTTACAACCATCTGATGCAATTCACTCTTTAAAAAATAGCCATTTCCCAGAGTGGGGAATAGGAACCGTGCCTCCCCTTGGCCGCAGCAGCACTGTTGCCCAGACCTTAGCCTTCCTGGGGTGGGGGGCAGGAGATACCATCAGACAAAGCAGGGAGGCTCAGTGAGGCCGAGCACGTACACGTGCAAGGTCATGTCCGGGAAGTCAAGGATGACCAGTTTGATTGACGAATGCCTGACAAGGAACCAGGAGCGTGCTCAGACCACAGTTCTGCTGAGTCTGTATCTTCTGCCTCAGTTTCCCCATATTTGAAATAGGAACAATGGCAGCATCTCCCATTGTGAATTACTTGAATTCTACATGAGTATGTAGAAGTGTTTATGACCAGGTGTGGCGTACCGTGAGCCGCTGGTTAAGGTCAGCTTTACGGTTTTCCACCGCCACCCTCCCGGAGTCCTCCAGAGCTGAGGGGGCCTGGGCTAGAGTCAGCCTCGGTGGGGCCCCGCCCCCTCCCCTGATGCTGCTCTGACCCTACAGGCGCACAATGACCTGCTGCGCACCTATGAGGCGAAGCTCCTGGCCTTTGGGATCCCTCTGGACAACGTGGGCTTCAAGCCTCTGGAGACGGCTGTGATCGGGCAGACGCTGGGCCAGGGCCCCGCGGGACTCGTGGGCACCCCGACGTAGTGCCTGCCTGGGACTGCTCCCTGGATGACCTTCCCTTTCACCAAGGACAGGAACTGTTTTTTTTTACATTTCTATCATCTGCAAATGAAGGTTTTCTACATTTGCTATGTGTCCTGTTGCCTTGCTGTGTGGAGGAGAGGCACCTCCTGGGCCCACGGTGCCCTGACCACTTCCTTCCCTGCTGCCGGTCCAGTCTGTGCATACCCCTGCCCACCCTCCCTCCCACCTCGGGGCCAGGGCAGCACCAGCTGAGCCCAGGGACTGCCGCAGCCTTACAGATGCCGACACCGACTTTATTGAGGCCTGAGACTCAGCTGCTACTGGAGGTGGAGGGCCAGAATCTCCCACAGGGAGATGACATGCTGCCCTCTCTTGGGGTGCCTCAGGGAGCCGTGGGGATGGGATCAATGCTCACAGGCCAGCAGCTGGCCAGAGGCGATGGCCCGGCCACTAGCTCCCTCGATACGTGGTGTAGGACCATGGGCTCAGCAGCAGGGGCACGTGGAACCGGTGGGTCTCGTCAGTGATGGTGAAAACAACCTGAGAAGCAGAGAAGGCACCGGAAGAGAGTGAGGGGCTCGTATGCAGCACGCAAGCAGCCCAGACTGTGGGCCAGGGGCAGAGTTAAGCGGGGCCAGCTGGGGCTTGTGGAGAGCTGGAAACCTGGCCAGGGCTGCGATGCGGCCGAATCCTCTCTGGAGAGTCATCAACTTGAGGAACCCAAAAGATCCACCTTGAACAGGGTCAGGTGAACGCCTTTGTCCACAGGGGCTGAGTCACTTTGGGCCCTGCCCCCCACAGCCTCACCCAGGGACAGGGCAGGGACGGGTGTGTTGTGGTGAAGTCCCTGGACACCTTTCTTCTGGGAGCTCAAAGCCGTGGACTCACTGCTACCGCCCTGGGAGAGGTGGGAGGGGTAGGACCAGCCTGCCCACCGCAGGGACCTGGGTGAGTCACGGGCCTCCGCCCCGGGTCCTCACCTCCACGTATGGGTAGAAGCTTTCTTGCCCCCTCTTCTTCCAGTAGCCCTCGGTGTCAAAGGACAGCTTGTAGGTGCCTGCCTTCATCGGGCCTGGTGGCAGGAGCCCTGGGCAGCGGCCGTCCGAGTCGGTGTAGCTGGGGAGGGTGGAGGGAGGGGTTGGTCAGGACTTGCCCCTGCCTGGCCCTCCAGGGTCTGCATGGCCAGGGGCCTCAGACTCCCCCACAGGAGGTCTAGAGCCTGGGGTCCCGGAGGAGCTCAGGGACACCACTGCACTGTTTTTGTAGACAGAACTCCAATACGGAGCAGAAAAGTAAAAAAAAAACAAAAAAACCAAACCTATTTTATAAGCAACAATCCCTTTATATTGGCATATATTTTTCAACATTTTCTCTACACATAACTGCTTATTTGTAAACTTAGGAAAATACCCTAAAATGGATTATATTATACATGCTGTTTGATAACTTGTACTTTTCATTTGCTACATTGTGTGTGGCTTTCTAGCCAGTAACTGTACCCACACCCCATCTGCATGGTGGCCGGTTTGCACTGCACGGAGTGTCCGATTGGAGGGCCTGTCGCTTTGCTCACCGATTTATGCCCACCCCCCGCCCCCGGCCCCCATCACCCCTGGAGAGCCCTGGCATCGTTCCCACCAGCTGCGATTCAAGTTTCTGTCCTGTACCCACAGTTTATGGGGGGTTGGGAATGGGTCTATGTGACCCTCTAGGGGACTCCACGGATTCTTTTAGGACCAGAGCAGGCCACTCAGATGGGACCTGGACCCCCATCGTCGGTGAAGGGCGGGGGAATGAGCTCCATGCCCCCTGGCCCTGAACCTTTGGGGCCCAGCCGCCCACTCCCAGCACCAGAGGGAGCCTGCCTCCTTGGAGAGGCTCACAGGGCAGCTACCGGGCGCTGCGGCGCTGGGCCGGCCCCGGCAGAGCCTGAGCCTGGGGCCAGGGCCCAGGGCCTGCTGAGGGGCCCAGCGGCCAGGCGAGGCATGGGATCCCAGCTTTTACTTACCTCTTGTTGTCTGTCTTTCCATCTATAAAAGGGGTAATTATGGGGCCTGCCCACAGGCTGTAGTGAGAATAAGAAGACAAGTAATGTGCTCAGCTGCCTGGCACAAGGTTACCTGTCAATCACAGTGACCATGAGGCCCTTGGGTTACACCCCGGGCCTTAGCCAGCCCTGCCCTCAGGGAGAGGCACTGGGGGTGTGAGGCCGAGGGGACCACACCGCAGCGGTCAGCACTCGCTGGCTGGCTGCGTTCTTCTCCTTGCCCCCTGGCTAGGGAGAGGTGATCTGGACTCCCGTCCCGCCCAGACCTCAAGCCTACCTTTTCCTCAGCTCCGTCCACTGCTGGCCATGGTCCTCAAGCCTAGACAGACAGAGGCAGAGGCCCCGGGCCGGAAGCCCCCAGGCAGTGTCCAGCACGTGTGTCGTCAGTGGGCTGCTGGTCGGCTCCATGCCTCTGCCCTGCGCCACAAGAGAGGGACAGAATGAGCACGTGCGGCCCAGCCTCGTGTCCACGTTGGCCCTAGAGTCAACAGCCAGGCTGCTGGACCCTGGGGGCGGGGGGTGGCGGCGGCAGGAGCTGCTGAGTCAGCCGCCGAGGCTGTGGGGTTAACACACCGAGAGACAGTTGATAAACAATGCCGGCCAGCCCCCCACTCCGCCACACCAGCTCCTACCGGGCCCCCTCCCCTGCGTCCGGACACTGAAGGGCATCTCCGCACAGAGGCCGCCCCCCCCCGCCCCTCCAGCCACTCCGTGCCGGCTGCGGGTGGCCAGACCCCGGGTGCTAGTTCTCCCAGAGTCCAGCCCTCTGCCCCCTGGCTCAGGGGTCACCTGGGACCTGAGCCCTGGCCCTGCTGACGAGCGGGGAACCAGCGTCGGGGCCTGCCCCCTACCTCCGAGGAGCCCAGGTGTCGCTGGAGCGCCCGCAGTCTCGGAGCGGCCTGCATCAGTCTCCCCAGAACGGTAGCTGGTCCCGGGGAGCAGGCACCTCCCCGAGCCCGCCCTTGCCCGGACCCTGGCCCCTCCCAGGGCCTAGGCCCTGTGTCCGACCAGACTCAGGTTGGGGGGCGCGTCCCTCTGGCGGGGAGGACGGCTCCACTCAGGGTCCACCTGGGGTGTCCCAGGGGCTTCGCTGCACGGCTGGGGGTGGGGGGGCGACAGGGGCGCACAGACCTGCGGGGGCCGCGGAGGCTCCTACCAGGGCCGGAAGTGGAGTTGAGCGCACCTGCGGGAGGTGGGGCGGGGGCGGGTCCGGGGCGGGGCTGGGTCCGTTCCGGAGATCGGTCGGGCTCCGGGCCCGGCTGGATGGCGGGGGGGGCGGGGGGGGCGGGGCTCGGGACTGTTTGGGGTCCAGGCGGGTCGGGGCCACGGGCGCAGGGCCGGGAGGTCGGGGACGCGCGTGAGCCGGACACCGCTCCAGGAGTCCCAGAACTACGTTTTGTTTTTTGTTTGTTTTTCCCCTTCGCCGGGGCAGTAAGGATTTTGATGGAAGCCCCTCAGAGGGGGCAGAAAAGTTTTGCGATACCGACTGCCCCGAGAGACCACGTGGTGGTGACTCAGTTTCCTCTTCTGTAAAATCAGGGCAGTAAGGACTCCCGAGGTTGAGAAACTCTCTGAGCTGCCGCTCTGGTGGCGCTGCCCACCCCCACCCCCAGCCCCACCCCCACCCCCACCCTGAAGCAGGCTCTGCACACTGACGGGTTCGGGCCTGGGCTGCGCGGTAGGGAGAAAAGGGACAGCTGAGTATTCACATTATATAATATAAACATTTTATGCAAGGTAAGTAAAGATAAGGGCACCCTATTATATTTAGTCTACACGACTAGTTGGTCGACTGCTGTGTTGCTCTGGATATGGGAGCTGTTTTCTTCCTGTCAAAGTGCATTTTCTAATTACTGGAGAGTGAGCACCGACTATGTGTAGGTTAAGCATCAGACTCCTCCAAGGCAGGGAAGGAGACCCTCCTAGCAAAGGGTGGGAGTGTGCCGGTTACACCTATTTGGAGGTAAGTAAGAAACACCTATTTGAGATTTATTTTTTATTTTTTTTAAAAGATTTTATTTATTTATTTGACACAGAGAGACACAGTGAGAGAGGGAACACAAGCAGGGGGAGTGGGAGAGGGAGAAGCAGCCTTCCCACCAAGCAGGGAGCCCGATGCGGGGCTCGATCCCAGGACCTGGAATCATGACCTGAGCCAAAGGCAGACGCTTAACGACTGAGCCACCCAGGCGCCCCCCTATTTGAGATTTAAACACACATGACGTTTGGGCGAGATTATGTTTATAGGAGATAACCCCAAACAGATGCTCACACCTGTTTTTACAAACACCCACGGGTATAATAGACAAGAAACAACCAGACTGTCTCCACTGGGGACAATTAAATAAACGAGCCCTGTTACGGACCAGCATGCTCTGCAGTCCATTAAAAAGAATGAGGCCCATTTGTGTGCAAAATGAATAGTCCCTGGGCGGTGACTGGTGGTGAGGCATAAAAGGGTGTAGCAAGGTGGAGGTGTCTAGTGTGATGCTCTGAGTGTGTCCAGAGCTTCCACTACTTCATTGAATCCTCATGACAGCTTCATGATGTCGGTGGTATTATCCCCATTACATAGAGGAGGCACAGAGAGGCTCTGTATTAGGATATTTTCCAGTATGAGACCCAGAAAACTTACACCAGCGACCATCTCCGGGATGAGCACTTGTGGATGGAGTTAGCTTTTACCCCGTAAGTCCCTTTCTAGATACCGGACACTCTTCAGCCCAGGAGAGAACTTAGTGGTCGGGAGAGAGGGTGGGAGAGCAGGGAGTTGTCACAGGTCCTTCCAGGGCCTCTCTGGGGCCTACTTCCCCATCCCGCATCCGCCCAGACAGAACTGCTGTGTGTAGGGTCCCTGCCCCTTTCACAGGAGGCTTGAGACGCTCAGCCCATGCCTGGCCTCCCGGCACTCAGCCCTCTCTGAGAACTAGGATTATCACTGGGACATTGCATACTCTGGAAACTTCTCTGATGAGAAGATGACAAGGTTTCTTTTGGCACCTATGGGCAAATTAGAATAAGGTACTTCTTCAAGACCCTTATATCTACCAGAACG